AATTATATATTATATATTATATATACAATATATATCATAATTATTATAATAATAATGAAAATATATATATTACTTATATACATAATTTTATAATAATTTTCTAACTACCGAAATTACTTTCTTACCAACTCAATATAATAGAAAACGGAATTTGATATCTAATTCTAATCTGATCCATTTAAATCAATATATTTTGGATATATCCAATTATTATATCATTTATTATTTATGTATTTTTCATTTACTCGATTATACACGTTCCTTTGTGTACAACCGAGTAAAATTCAATAAAACATTTACCTCTATTTTCTTTCTTCCGCTCTTGCTTCTATTTTTCATCTACCATAGTATTATTATTCTTTTTTTTTTTTTTAATTTATTTAATTAACTACTCTCTCACTGTCTCTAACACATTTTTTATTTGTCAAATAACAATAGTAGAGATCAAAATAAAAAATATATTCATCGTATTTTACATTTGATTTTTAGAAAACAACTAAAATATTAATTGACGTTTGATTATTCCCAAAATTCAATGGGGTTGAGATGAAGTCTGGGGGTGAAATGGGAGATAAAAAACAAAATGGGAAGTCGTCCATTCGATGTAAACGAATTCGAACATTGAATTTTACATTTCTGTGTAAAAAAAAAATTAAAAAAAAAAGAGAATTCTGTCAATACGAGTATCTCTAACTATTCGATAATAGAAGAAGTAAACGAACAAAAGGATCCCCCTGCCCCCCACCACCCCCTCCCATAGTGATGCTGGTGAGTATCCTCCCTTCTGCATTCGGCAGTCGAATTCAACCAATAGGTTTTTTTTTTTTTATTCTAGTTAAACGCAAATAAAAAAAATAAAAAAAAGAACCAAGCAAGCACCGGTGGTTCTTTCTCAACGGTTTAACAAAAGCCGTGTGTCGTCGTGGAAAATGTATTTCTCTACCATTGTAAAAGTGGATATGCGCGCGCACAATTTCCCCGGATTACTTCTAACCGAAGGGTGAAAGAGGACGAAGGGGTAGGAAGAAGAAGAAGAAGAAGAAGAGGAGGAGGAGGAGAAGGAGGACCTCGTGTCTCTCGGACTGTTCTCGACTTTCGAGAAAGAATTAAAATGAAACTAAAAATCGTTTACTTTAAGATCAAAAATTATTTATGTAATATGTGTGTATGTGTGTCTCTGGTGTGTATGTTAAAATTTATATTAATTTTTAAAACACGAAGAGAGTACTACGTAAAATTTGGAAAAGTACAAATTCAAATATATTTTTCATTATTTTGTTGTGTCAATAAAATCATGAAAAATTAAAATTCTAAGGTTAATCAATTTAATATCTAATAACTAAAATTATTTTTAATTATTTAATAATTATCTTAAATATTAATTATTAATATTATTTAAATTTTAATTATAAAATATGAATATGTTTATTAATTTAATTTAAATATTAAAATAATTTTTAATATTTACTGTTAATATAAAAATAATTTTAAAGAAATTAATAAATGGTAATAATAAATATAAAATATATATAATATATATTAATTTAAAATATATAAAATTAAAATATATAAAATATATAAAATATAAAAAAATGTATTATACATTAATTATTTTAAATTTGATATATAATTATATAGTAAATATATATAATATATATATTTTATAATTATTTTAGTAAAATATATATACGCAATATAATTATTTTATTATATATTGGGTTGACAACTAAGTAATTGCGAATTTTTTACTATGTGTAAAACACATTTTTTTGTCAACACATTTTTAACACAATAAACTACACTTTTTAAGAAAAATAATTAATAAAATCCACTATTACCTAATTATCAAGCCAACATAATAATAATAAATAAATAAACGATATTATTATTAATTAAATCATTCAAATCAATTTATGTATAGAATAATAATAATAATAATAATAATATTGTGTTTGTGTGTATGTGTGTATGTGTATGTGTGTGACTATTTCATATAACCATTTGTACTTTTTCTTGACGATAAACTAACATAAGTGATGTGTATAGAGCAAGATAAGAAAATAGAGAGAGAGAGAGAGAGAGAGAGAGAGAGAGAGAGAGAGAGAGAGAGTCCATAAGGGTAAAATAACACATCGATTCTACCAACTACAACCCTTGGATATTATACATATCTTATTACATAGTTTCACGAGCGTAGAAAAAAAAAAAAAACATGAAACAAAAATGTAGTATTACCAACAACACGCGAAAAAGCTTTCAGTAATTTGGCAAGCGAACGTATAATCTACAGGTTTTCGAACAACCCCCTCTCAACCCTTACTGGTGGTGTCTGATTTGTTGGCATGGAATAACGACGAACATTTTTCACGCATCATAAAAGTATTTTCTTTTTTTTTGGGAGGAGGGGGTGAATTTTTTACAAACTTAACTTTTGTAAAAAAAAATTCATTAATAATATTACGCGTAAAAATTGTTGAATTTTATTTGAACATTCAATTTCATTTCATTTCACACAAAACAACCGTTCGTTTCTTCAAATTATTTTTTTTTACCTTTATTCTTTTTTTTGTTTTTTTTTATTTAAATATTATTTATATCAATGAGAAATAAATTTGTAATCTTTTTATTTCATCCCGTTAATTCTTGATGGTAAGATAAAAAAGGAAAGAAAACGGTTGATTAAAGAATACTAATTTTATGATAGTAATGACGCAAATGTATGTGCGTGTGCGTGTGCGTGTGTGTGTGTGTGTGTATGTGTATTACGACGGTCACGGTATTTTTTTCTATCAAACTTGTAGAAAGAAATAAAAGAATTAAAATGTATGTGTGTTTCAAGGAAACAGTTTCACAAAGGAAATAAAATGTATACGATTTTACTATACCAAGAATAATAAATAATAATAATAAAATACTTTACTAAACTGAAATAGATGTGTCTGAGATATTACATATTTTATATTACGTTAATATCATGCTAAAAAAAAAAAAAAAAAAAAATAAGAAAACCATTTCTTTTAATCTGTTAAGCAAGAAAATAATAAAATTTGTTCGAATATACAATCAATCTATAAAATTATCTTACTAGTAAGATAAATGTCATTTAGTTCTTGATAGAATTATAAATGAAATAACTTAGCAAGTATAAGAAAATAATTCAAAAGGGTAAAAAGAAATTGTGCAAAACTCTGTGAAACGGAACAACGATCGCGCGCCATTGCTGTGTTTAGACTTTCAAGTGCTTCCACGATCTTCGATCATAATTCGTGGTGCTCGTTCTTTCCCAATATCTTGAGGAATTATAGTTCAGCGTCATAAGACCTTGACGATAATAATCCGATTGAAGTAACCGATGATCTTTGTTAACACTTTGTTCTTTCATAAATAACCCCCACCCATAACAGTTTATTCATTAATTCATTAATTCATTCATTTATGTATCGTAACAAGAGGCCGATACAAAAGATGCAACTAATGATTGAAAATTTGAACGTCAAACTAACAACCAAAGAGATATAAAATAATTATTTATTTAAACACCAATTTATTAGATAATATTTCAATTGATAATTTACCCCCGTCGGGTTTAATCACCACTCAACATCCTACTAAAACTACCCCCTACAAAATAATCCTCTCTTGAAACAGTCAAGAAATGAAAAGAATGGAAAGGAAATAAAATATAAAATATAAAAAAAACAGTTAGTTAATTTCACATTGATTCTAAACTTACGTCTATTATCATCATCATGATCATTATCATCATCACCATCACGTTTGTAGAAGAAGGTCGTCGTATTCACGTGTAGTATCAAGGTGGATTATCGTAGTAGTAGTAATAGTAGTAGTAGTAGTAGTAGTAGTAGTAGTTGAAGTTAGCGAACCGATCGCTATGGCGTCCCATAGTAGTAGTAATAATAATAATAATAATAATTTAATTGACAAAAGTCAAATTTTGAAATCACGAGAACAATCAGTAATACGAAGAATAAATTGTTAGATAATTAATAAGAAGATGAAGAACAAGATATTGTTTGATAAATAATATAAATAATATTAATAATAAAATATATAAAATAATAATAATAATAATAATACGTTTTGATTAACTTTACCGACGGCACCACCAGCAATGGCGAACGTTCGTAGTGAATCGCGTAAACGAATGACAAGCAGCAGCATCGCCCCAGTTGAACACCGAGCTCGCGACTGTTCGCGACTGCCGCCACTGCTGTTAGCACCGAGGCCGAGGCCTCAGCCGGGGGTTGCATATCCTCGAGTTCACCGGTTCAATCGGCGACTACATATATCTCTAATACTAGTTTTGTCTTACTTATACACCCCCCACTAAACTAACGATGCGCCATCTCACGAGACTTTACTTCAACTACCTTTCTACCAACCCCTTTCCTATTCCTTTACCCCTTAGTGCTGGTATTGGTATTGATGGTGTTGGTATTTGCTGCTAGTGGTGGTGGGTATCGTTCAACCCTTATTCTCAACGCGCAAACTCATTTTCAACTGACACGAGACTTTATATACCCCATTCGGTTTTTTTTCCTTTTTTTTTTTTTTTTTTACTTCCAAAGATACTTCAGTTTTTATGTTGTTATATTTCGTTGAGATTTTTTTTTTATAAATTATTCCTTTTCTCCGATGATAAATAATCTAATAATGTGATACTAGTATTTATATGAAATTAATTATATAATGATAAATAAATAAAAAAATAGAACCGATCAATTGTATTAAGTTTGTATTTGATCTGATCAACTAACTTTACTTCAATACGAAAGCAACAAAATCCTTAATAATAAATTATTCGAGAGTTTCAGTAATTATTATAAATAATACATTATTTCATTTTTGTCTAGAATTTGTGACAAATTATTTACCCCGTCAATAATACCCCGTAAAAATCATGTTCTCTTTTACTATCTAAAAAAAGGAAAAAGAAAAAAAACAAACAAATGTCTATATCAATCAAATCGTTTTTCTTTTCATCCCTTTTTCCGTATGTGTTCATTACCACCACCAACCATTGGTTTTTTTCGATTTCAGAAAATTGTACAAGAACACAACTTCGATACGCACAAACAACAACAAACGTCGTCAATTGGTACGATTGTCTTTGCTCGAATACGCCTTTATACGTGACAGATCAAAAAACTATTTTTAACATGCGTTTTCCTATTCCCATTAGCTTCTTTTTCTTCTTCCTTTTCTCATTTTCTAATTTTTCTCTCTTTGATAAAAAAAAAACATAAACCAGAAACATTATCATTTACCCCCTGTACACATGTATTAACATCAGACAACACAAATCAAGTTGTCAGTTACACAGTAGAAAAAGCATAAATATGATCAGACATATTTTAATTGAACTTTTACAAAATGCATGAAAATATTCTTTTTCCCATTTAAAACTTCAAACTATGTTATACAGATAAGTACTAAAAAGTTATTACAGAATAAATATAAAACGAGTGACAGCAGTGAAAGAGAGAAGATGCATAAATTCATTGGAAAAATATACATATAAATCAATGAAAGTGTAAGCACGAAATATGTATGTAGGTGGTGGTACAAGTCTTAAAATTCAAACAGTTAGCAAAATTTCTATCTCTGACGTATTTGGTCTGACCTTGAACCAGTTTCCTAAACTCGTGGCAACGTCTAATATCAACTTCCGTTGTCAGACAATACTTCTTCTATTTCCTCATAGTCGTCATCGTTGTCCGTTGTTGCAGTAAAAGTAGCTTTGCTTTCATTATCACATTGATTCAGGAAAGAAGAAATATATATATAGGAATAGTGAAAGATATAGGGTAAGACAAATCGTTCAGGAACACCATTTAACTTGGGTTTTATTCTTAGCACGACCTAAAGACTAAACTAAAGACTTTACCTACCTGGCTTTGAAATGAAACTTAAGGTACTTGCACTCTCTCTCACACCCATTTTAACCTTGGCTCAACAGGTTCGCTTCGCGTGCCGGATGTACTTGCATTCCGGAAGTCCACTCATCGGCTTGGTGGAACGAGACGTTATCGCATTTAACTCAACTAACGCATCCAAGTTCATCCAAGAGCGAAATTTTCCACGATTTTAGGATATTAATGATAGATTTACAATTGATTGAACACACCTTTTCAATCTATCATTGAGAAAATGAAAAATATATATATATATAAATTTATCTTACGATTAAATTAAATTGAAAAAGAAAGAATATTTTGTTACTGTTAACTCTTTGAGGCATGGTGTGGATTAAAAGTGTCCCACCTTTTTGATACATCGTAATGCACATGGTGGAACATTTTTAGTCCCAGCTCGAAATAATATTATTGCAATTTCTACACGTGCTCATAAGTTTCTATTCATCTTCTTTATACAAAGCAATTGATTATTAATTCTTCGTTATTAATTTTTTTTTTTTTATCTTTTTACATTATGTTATATATTTATTAATAAAAAATATATAAATTTGGTTTCATTTAAAACGTAATCAAATTTTGTATGCAACATAGGGCTATTTTATTATCTGAAATTCTGTGCCGCAAAGAGTTAAAGGATATTAAAGGATAAAGAAGAATATTTGAAAATATACATGAGATTATCGTGACACAAAATGATACCAGAAGTTGAAATTATTTTACGATGATCTAATCATATTTGACAAAAGAGTATGTATATAGATATATATATATTATTATTATATACATCAGGATAATATAAGAAACCCTGGAAACATGATCGTGGATTACGTGGATACGGAGATTTGTTTTTTTTTTAGGGCCGATATATATTTAGGAATCCTTCGATAAATCATAAAAAAATTTTAGGCCGTCTATTTTCGTTTTTCTTATCGGTTTCACATTATACATTCATTTTTTGCACGACGTAATTTTTGTCATCATTATCGGATAGTTGTTTTATATATATATAACAAACACGTATATTATTATTATTATTAATATTATTATTATTATAATTAATAACTAACTAATCAGCACAAAGGGAGTTTCGACGAAGATAAGTACAAAATTGCTTAAAAAGCTAATTTACAAAAAAAAAAAGAGGAAGAAAGAAAGGAATACAAAAAAATACACACACACACATACACATATACAAAGAACGCTCAACTAGGATCGAAAAAATTATAAACTCGATCGGGATTGTGCGAATGATCAAATCTTTCTTTCTTTCTTTCTTCTTTTTTTCTTTTTTTTTTTTTTTCTTGAAACAGTCTCCTCTATCGGTTTTTTTGTTTTTTCTTGTTTCCTTTTCTTTGTTTGATATTCCACAATTTTCTTATTAACAATTTTGCGTATTAAAAATTTATCGACAATGTGTTTTTAATTAATAACAGATAAAACATCGCGAAATAGAATCGAACAATCGAACGATTATACAATCAAGTATTGTTTTTTTTTTTTTCTTTAGAACTCCTAGAATCCTCAACCGATTTGGGATGTGAAATTTAGTTCATTCGATTTATTCGTGACACGAGAAGATATAAAAAGACGTCAAAAGTTTGTAATTTTTTTTTTTTTTTTTCTAGAAATGAAAACCCCGATCCTCATATTTTGGTACAATGATTTCATTATTTCTATTTTCAAGGCCAGAATAAGAGACTCCAGATTATCACAGAATTCATTTGCTCATTTTTTTTCTTTTATTTTCTATTCGGTTCTTTTCGGTTCTTTTTGTTTCTTTTTATTATACACACCGTTTCTTCTTTTTATTTTATTTTATTTTATTTTATTTTATTTTATTTTATTTTATTATTTTTTTTTATATTCTCTTCTCCCTCGTTTTTATATTTCATCTTTTTCTATTTACTTAAAATAATTCACACTCGGAACGAGATGACTATAATCACTAATATTTATAATACGTTTGGTCTTCCATTTTGTGAAAGGTTTCTTCTGCTATACACCGACACACACATATGTAATAATATTAAATTTCTTTCATTTCGTTGAACGAAAGTTAATAATTGACAATATATATTTATGTATGTATGTATGTATGTATGTATGTATGTATGTATGTATATTACCTATTTTAATTTATTTTTATTTTATATTCTTTCAATGGATGATTTTATAACTTGGTCCACTTTGCCGGTTCTATCATTAACGAAACCTTTCAACACGGAACTCCTAAAATGATTTTTTTTTTTTTTATATATACAATGATCACAATTCATCTTCAACTTGAAAATCTTCTTCAACTTCTTCTTCTTTTTATTCAAATTGTTTCTTTTTATAATCTCAATATAACCGCTAGATCAATGTAAATATAAATACGTAGTATATACGTGGATAAATTTATGTATGTATGTATGTATATATATGTATGTATGAACGTGTACTAAAACGTTTGTAAATATGCGTTTTTCTTTTTTTTTAATATTACATTTAGTAATATTTAAAAAAAAGAATCTTTCATCATGAACTACATTTTCTTTCTCGACTTAAACAATCATTTTTTTTTCTTTCTATGCGTTAGATAAAAACCTATGATCCATGATAAACGTATTCCTTGCACTAACACATTAATTAGTCCGTTGTTGGTTATTTTTTTTTTAACGTTGCGATAAAACGATTAAAAAAACATGACGCGAGGGGAATGGTAGCTTAAAAATTAAATGCATTTCACGCGATCGTTCGATTCGATTTACGAAGTGTAACGAATGATTGATACGGTTTCTATGTCATGGATGTTAACAAACAAAAAAATAATTTTAAAAAAAGGAAGATAAAGAAAATGAAAGAAAAAATAACCGCTAATATAATAATGAGACGTTATATCAAATGGCAACGTTAAATGAGATTCAAAGAGATATCGAATTGTTACAAACGATCGCATATATAATATGTACTTGCAATAAAATATAATATAATAAAATAAAAATAAAAATAAAAATAAAAATAACAACAATCGACGAATGTTATCGAGAAGATGAAAATTCGTGGGGGAACGTAAGAGAAATGAAAAGAAATCCGGGGATATTTGTTTTCTCTATCTCTTTCTATTTTGTTGTTGTTGTTCTTCTTCTTCTTCTTTTCAACTATCCATCGTGATCGTATTCAAGTTGCAAAAGACGATCGTGTCTTATCGAAAGTTTGGAGGATAGACCGAGGACAAGATGATCCTCGTGTAGCCAACACTACCGTTTGTGATTATGACTCGTTTTACTTTTGGGACTTTCCGTGGCAGAATCGTTGACGTCTCTTTTAGGTCTTAGAATAAAATTAAGATTGTGCGCAGTATTGACGGCATAATAAACATTAGCCGAATGTGGTAATACCATTTCACGATCGGGTAAAACTTGAGCTAAAGTATATTGATCGGGACTACCCTCAATTCCTAATTTAAGCATAGCGTTTCTTATTACTTGGGGAGTCCTCTCATTGTTAGACAACATGATGGATTTATAAAGCACCACACCGTCCGTCTCAACGTTCTCGCTTTCCATGGTAACCTTGATGATATAAAAATCCGGTGAATTTTTATGGGAATGACTCGGACTCGAAAGTCCAACCAAATTCGGTGTACTTCCATTAGCCGTCAACGAAGAAGTTCCACCACCACTAGATGGTGGTGCCAAACGATTTGTTGCCATCGTTCCTCCCCCTCCTCCTCCGCCACCTCCACCTGAACTCAAGGATACGTCGAGTGATGGTAATGACGAACTAGACGAGGAACTTGACATTTGAGACGGTGACGTACGACGATCCAAAGAATTGTGGGGTGAACTTGGTAAAGAATCGAGATCGCAGTAAAATTGTGAACTGCTCGAACTAGAAGTCGATGCTATCGAATCGTTCTTCCGATGACCTTGATGATTCTATAAAACAAATTTCGATTCAATCTTCTTTTTCAAGATTAAGGCTAAGACTACAAATGAGAATCAATGAAATAGAGTATTAATGATTTGCCTAACCTGTTTCTTCTTGCCCCGGCTATTTAAAGTGTTACCGGGTGGTGGTGGTTCTATTTGACAGCTCAATTTATACGCCTCACGATCATCCAAAACCACCACGGAATGGAACCAACGATCGAACGATTGATCCCTGCTAAAGTTGTAAGCGTTCGCAGCACCTTGAAGCAGTCTTATTCTTGCGAGTACCTCAAACTCCTTTCGTCTCTTATCGAAATTGATCAGACCGTCAGCTATCGTATCCGGGATAGCAGTGTCGATCATCGTGAGATCCGTCAGGAACGTGCCCAAGTACGGTATCGTGCCGTAACTGATGTTCTGAAATTAGTTTTCAACAAAATCTTTACAAGATATTTTGATTTTCTTATAAAAATATTCTAACCAATCAACAAACCAACCCATCAGAAAGATGGGTGGGTTATAATTGATAATATTTACATATTATAATAATCGCTATTTTAACGATTGATTGAAACTTACTCCGGCGTGAGTATTTTGCTTTTGAAATAATTTCTGAAGATGTCTGTCACTTCTACCAGCCGTATCAGCAAATTTGGCAGTACCTTCTTTAATTAACAATTCGCGTTGGGTCCATGCGTTATTTTCCTCAGAAAATATTCTTTCGAGTTCACGGAAAAGTTCGTGTTTTTCTCTTGGCATACATTGCCAAGATTTTTCCAGCCTGTAAACCGGATTACTTTGTAGACCGGAAACAATTGCCTTCAGGCTACTGAAATTCTTGAGGACTCTCAATTCCTGTGCTATATCGATCCACGTTTCGAGAATTCTAGCACGATCTTGGGATTTCATCGTTGGTTCTGTCAAAATTGTTGAGATAACTCTTAACGATACTGCGTTGAATTGATTGACCGTTGCCAAAACCGTAGCTGCCTCGTGATTCCTCGAACGATCTCTTCTCGACCAAACTGCACCTAAACATTGATGTGCTACGAGTTTTTTAAAAACTTCAGCATCCATACGTGTCAATTGTTCGGCAAAATGTCGTTGTGGAACTTCGGGGAACGTATAATTGACAATTCCTTGATCACCGTTCGAATTTGAACTTCCATGAACTCGATGATCATTGTCGTACACAACGCAATCTGAAAATTAATAACAAAATATTCAATTAGTATATTTACGTATTATGATACGTAATATATAATACACATTCAAATTAATATTTATTTATAATTGCAAATTAAATAAATTTATCTAATTTAATTTAAATATATAAAATATAAATATATAAAAATTAATTATATAAAACATATAACTACATTGAACTAAAATTTATTAAGACAAATGTATAAATATTAATTATTATATTATTTAACCAATTTAATATAAATATATTATAAAACATAAGAACTCGTTCGTTTATAGTCTCAAACACCTTTTTCTTTTTTTATCCTTTTTTTTTTGCAGTGCTAATAATCATTAACGTGGAAATATAGAAAGATGATATCATCGACTAAACGTCATTAACGTTGTATTACGTTATTTCCGACCATAGTTAGTATGACACATCGAAAATGCGTTAATTATAATCCATCATATATATATATATATATATATATATATATAT